ATCTCCTCCTTCCTCCTCCTTCCCTTCTTCCTTTGAGACAGGGTCTCGCTAGGTAGCCCAGGCTGGCCTCAAACCGTCAGTGATCCTCCTGCTTCGGCCTCCCGAGTGCTGGGATGACAGGTGTGTGCCAGCTCACCTGGCTTTAGGAACTTAAGGAGACAAGGCCATTGTCACAAGAACTGACTGACGACAGTACTGTCTCAGTCCCTGTCCTTGGGTGGGTCATGATGCACCCGGCTTCTCAGAGCTTCTTGTCAGGAAGCTGCTGGTATTATGCCCATTTCTAAATAAGGAAACTGAGGCTAGGGTTAGAGTAGCCATGTGTCCAAGCCACACTGCTGGAAAATAACCCAGCATGTAGGCAGACTCAGGTCCAACTTCTTACCGGGACTGTCAGCATGATTTGAGATACCTTACCCCTCCTGGGAGCAACATTGTTAACCTGGAGTTTGTTCCATTCATCAAACATCACAAACCAGCCAGGCGGGGTGACCCACGCCTGTCATCCCAGCACCCAAGAGGCTGAGGCAGGAGGATCACTGACAGTTTGAGGCCAGCCTGGGCTACATAGTGAGACCCTGTCTGAAATAATAAACTCCTTTTACTCTTCAACTCTGTCTGAGTCTTTCCTATCCTTCTATGCCCAGGGCAAAGCCCACCTCTATCAGGAAGCCATCCTGGATTTTTTTTTTTTTTTTTGAGACAGGGTCTCACTATGTAGTTGAGACTGACCTGGAACTCACTATGTAGCCCAGGCTGGTCTTGAACTCACAGCGATCCTCCTGCCTCAGCCTCCCCAGTGCTGGGATGACAGGCGTGTGCCACGGCCTGGATTTTGTAAGCTTCTCATTGCTTGCTGGAGGCAAGCTCTTCAGTGAACTTGACTTTGCATCTTGTGGCAGCACGCAGGCAATCTCCACACTGCCACGGACTCCCCTGGGTGGGCCTTGCTCTTCCTGCTGGTCAGCAAGTGTGCTGAATCCCTTGGTCATCTTCGGTGCATCTCCCAGCCTGGCGCAGTGCACAGCATGAACACCTGTCCCAAGTGCAGGGCGGGTCTCACCCTCGCCATAGGGGACTCAAGTCCACCCCTGGAAGCAGACAGCAGCAGCGCTGAGACCCTTCCAGAGCAGCAGTGTTCCCAACTGGGGGGTGAAGGGGTGGGAGGGACCCTCCCAGGAAGGCAGCTTTGAAAAGGACCACATGTGGTAAGAGGAAGGAGTGCTGGCGCTTTTATCAAAACCATCAGTGACATCTTGCCTTTAGGGCCTTTATTTCCTCTAGCAGCCCTGGCCTGGTGCCCCAACATAATCAGCACCAGGGGTAGGGGTGGGGCTGCAGGGAGGAGGAGGGGCAGAAGGCCCCTGTCCTTTGCCCCAAGTGGCCCCACACCCACACACCCTGACAGCCGGGGTGGGAGACCCCACTGAGGGGATATGGATTCGCATAACTGCTGTGCCGACCTGACCTCAGGACCCTGTGCAGCAAAAGTGGCACTGCCCACCTCAGTCTTCCCACCCACGTGCTCACCAGAGACAAGGGCTCCGCAATCCATCTACCCAGGCTCAGCCTGCCCCTCAGTAGGACTTTGCAAAATGAACTTATTTCTTTTTGCTGTTGTTGGTACAGGGGTCCTTGGGATTGCGAGGCAGGCAGTGGAACCACTGAGCTAAATCTCCAGCCCTTGTTGATGTTTTGAAACAAAGACTCATGGTGCAGCTCGGGCTGGCCTCAAACTCTCAGTGATCCTCCTGCCCCAGCCTCCTGAGTGCTAGGATTACAGGCGTTTGCCACCATGCCCAGCTACTTATTTCATTTTAACCATCTGCTGCTGGGGTGAACTCAGGGTCTTTGCACTGACCTACATTTTTTTTAATGGGCATGGTAGTGCAAACATAATTCTAGGGCTCAGGAGGCTGAGGCAGGAGGATCTCAAGTTCAAGGCCAGCCTAGACTATGTAGTGAGTCCAAGGACAATTTACACTACATAGTGAGATCTTTAAAAACATTTTTAAAATTTGAGACAGAGACTCCCTAGTCACTAAGTTGTCCAAGCTGGGCTCAGGCTTGCAATCGTTCTACCTCTACCTCCCAGACTACTGGGATTACACTAGCTTACCTGCCTGATTTAGGGGACAGGTACTCTGGCTTGGACAGGCGTGGTCACTGCCCGCGGTATCACAGGCGGTAAGTAGCAGAGCCAGGGTCTGGACCAGAGCAGTCTGATGGCCAAGATTCATTCCACTAGAGCGGAGGCCCTGGGCGTGGCACCCTGGTCCCTGCACCAGGCCACGGTGGCAGGATCAGTTCAATGGTGTCTGCTAGGTTTTGGGGAACCAGTCAGTTTGGGCCTGGGCGAGGCCGACCAGCCCTCTCCTACAGGATGTGGGTCTCCAGAAACAGAATCCCATCCCGGGGAGGCAGCCCAAGAGTCGGGAGACCCCCCCCCCACGTCAGAGGAAGGCTCTAGAACAGCAAGAGAGGCTGACTCAGACTTCAGCCTGCAGAGCCCCTGGGGGATCTCATCAGAGTGCAGATTGTGACTCATTGAGCTGGGGCTGGGCGGGGGCCACAGACTTGCATTTCTAACAAGATGACGACCACCCCACAGGATGCCCGGGCTGCTGGACTCCAGTCAAGGATCTGCAACAGGGGTTTGCCGTCCAGGCTGCACAGTTACATCCCCTGGAGAGGTTTTTTAAAGAAAAGAAGAAAAAAAAATGCCAGGACCTCAGCCCGGACCATAAATCAGAATCTTTAGCCTGGCATCTGTAGCTTGCAAAGTTCCCGTGACAACAAGGCTGAGCAGCGAGGAGGTGACAGGAAACTCCAGATGCGGCCATTCAGGCAGGGGCAGAGGCTCCGAGCCCCCTCCCCAGCGGATGAGCTGGAAATAGCGGGCGATTCACACAGAGACCTGGCCCCTGCCCTGTGAAGGGCACTTCTGGTAACCCCAGAGGGGCATCTGAGGGGTACCCGTATCAGGAAGGGGACAGGGCAGGAAGGGCAGCCCCCTTGCTACCCTGTCCCCATCAGCCCCTTGGAAGTGGCTTTGTCCAGTGTCTGAGGCACTGGGCTAAATATAGCCCCGGCTGGGGGCTGAATTCAGGCTATTGAAGCCTCCTGCTTGCCCCTGCCCCTGCCCCGGAATGCAGGGAGGCTGGGGGCGAGGGGGCAAATTGCCTGGCCAGCTGGAAGGGGAAATCCAAGATACTTCATCTTTAAAAACTGGGTGCACAATTCACACTCTGAAGCCCTAACCCCCAGCCGGCAAGGTTAGATAAAGTCATAAGGCTGAGCCTCCCACCCCATAAAATTAGTGACCTTGTAAGCAGAGGAAAAGATACCAGGGAGTGCTCTGCAGGCCTCCGCCTTCTGTGTCACCTCAGCATGTGTGATGAGGACAGGCCGGGTGACAGCATAGCCAGAGGGTGGCCACCCACACACCAAGAGGGAAGCCTTCAGCAGAAACTGAACTTGCCGGTACCTGGGTCTGGGACTTGCAGCCTGAGGACCTGGAGAAAATAGATTTGTTTTTTTGGTTTTTTTGAGACAGGGTCTCACTATGTAGTTGAGACTGACCTGGAACTCACTATGTAGCCCAGGCCGGTCTCGAACTCACAACGATCCTCCTGCCTCAGCCTCCTGAGTGCTGGGATGACAGGCGTGCGCCACCACGCCTGGCTGATTTATGATGTTTACACCACCCCACATGAGGTGTCTGATAATGGCGGTGCTAGTCAAACACCTCAGAAGTACTTTGTCTCCCCTAAGAGGCTTTCGCCTATCTCTCCCCAGCCCACTGTCCTCCCAGAGGCTATTTCCAAAGGGAGCCCTTCTGCGATGCTTAGTTACACGCCTCACCTTGATTGGCTACGGCTGCCTGGATATTTGGGGTGAGATTCGCATCCGCATCTGTAGATGAGTAGGGCGACAGCCTGCTCCCATTCCTTGGACGGGAACTTACACCATCCAGGTCCTGGTTCCTGAGCCACCGGAGCGGGCCGGGAGCCACACCACAGGCTTTCTTGGGTCTGCAGCTTGCAACAGATGGTGGGATTTCTCCGCGACCATGTGAGCCAACTCCTTGGGACGGATCTCCTTACTCGGAACCGTGGTTCATGCAGCTTCACTTCCAGAGACCTTGTGCAGCCCCAGGCTCAGCCCCAGTGCACTCTAGAACTTCTTGTAACCTAGCCACCATCTCTGCAGCTGTAACTGGCCTCGGGCAAAAGGAACCTTGGTTCATCCTCAGCAGTGCTTTTCTGTGCGTCTGCATAAGAGACCCAAGGGGAGCAGAGGGGCCCACAGCACAGACTGTCAGACTCGCCCTGGTCTCTTGCACACACACACACACACACATATGCACACTAGCGCACGCACACAGAGCACACCTGGCACAGAGCACCCCTGGTGCACAGCTCGCACCAAGCCCCACCCAGAGAAATGCGGGCCTGTGGCTCATCCCGCCCGGCCTGTTTAAGCGGTGAGTGCGCTCGCTCGCTGGAGAGGCCAGAGGCACATTAAGGATTAACTTCCTGGCTGCTGCCGGCCTGGCTCAGCTCTTTGGTTAGAGCCTTCTGTGGGCAGTTTCCACCCAGAGACACAGCCCTGCAAAACCGCAGGCCCCTGCCAGGCCTGGGGCCCCACCCACCCAGACCCCTGGGTGCCCAGGCAGGAGTCCTTCCTGCCTCTCCTGCCAAGGCCCCTGTTTGCGGAAATCTGGGAGCCAGAGGGGAGGCGTGTCAGGTTGGGGGAGGTGTGTGAGCCCATGGTTAACAGGGCCAAGGCCCTGACTGGATGGGTTAGCTCTGGGGGCAGGCGGCACTCTTGGGTGGGTCCGTCCCGTACACACATGTGGAGGCCCGGGGCTTCTGACCCCCACTGTGAGGAAGAGGGGCTGTCAGCTCAGACTCGGGCTGGGACTGGTGCAGCAGGGGCTAGAAGATGCCCAGGATTTGGGGAGGGGAGGGTGTCGAGGTCGAGGCTGCATCCGTGCCATGGGCCAGAGTCCTGGGAACTCAGCCAGCAGCTCCCCCTCTTCAGCCCCCACTGATGGAGGACCTCCCGGGCCGCTGTGGGCCCCAGATTCGCCTACTCGGCTGCAGCCTGTCTCCAGGACCCCTCTGACCCGGCCGGGGTGCTGCCGCCATCACTCCCCGGTCTGCTACAGCAATGTCTGCCTCACAGGCCTCAGCAAGCAGGAATGCAGCCCCGATGGGGAGGGTGGGTTCATCCGTGTGCAGAGGGGAGGGGGGCCATTAGGGAGCTGAGCTGCTGCGGGACTGGGAGGATGCTAATCGATGGGCTCATGTTATATTTATCAGCCACAGTACTTAGGCGCTGCCCTGAGCAGGACTAATGGCCTCCCCATTGGAGACGCCATTACAGGAAGTGTGGGGGAGGGGCCGAGAGGAGATGGGACCTGGCAGGGCCTCCTCCTCCCCCACCCCCACGCCCCTACCGCCTGGATGCTGCCCTGCAGGCTGCTGGGATCGGACGTGGTCACCATGGAGTATGTGGTCTACCCTTCTCCTCTTCCCCACTGTCTGCCTTGGGGGAGCACCCAGAATCCCCAGCCAGAAAGCCACCTCTGTCGCCCGCCTTCGGGCTACCCTTCCGTGCAGTCTTTTCCTCTACCCTTTCTGGGTTTCTAGTCCGAAGCCACACCCTCTGCACCCGCCCACTTTTCGAATGACAGCCGGGTGGACCAGCCAAGGGTTAGTGGTTACCACGGTGATCTTTCAGCGTGGTGGGCGGAGGGGGGTCTACATACTTCTTCTAACTGCATTAATTGCTCATTTATTTAGGGCAATTAGTCCCTGGGCGACCCTCCCTTCTTTGACCCTTCAAGGGCTATTCTCAATTCACACAACATTGCCCCAAGACGAGGCGGGGCCTGGTCCAGAACGAATGGGAGGGGGCAGGAGGCCAGGGAAAGGGACAGAAGCGTCCGAAGTCCTGGGTCCTGTCACTGCCTCTGGATGGCTGCACCCCCTCTGCTCCGCTGTCCTCCCTGGCCGGCTGTCCTGGTTAGCTCCTCCCTGCAACAGCCCTGCAACAGCCGCAGCTCCCAGGGGCTCTTTCCTGTCCTGCCAGGTGCCACTGTGTCCCGCCAGGTGATCCCATGGGCCCTCATCCTGCTGCACTCTAGACACCTGCTGTCCTAGAACACTCCCGCAGGCTCCCAGGACTTGGTGCTGGCTACCGGGGCCCATTGCCCAAACCCGGAAGTTGGCGCAGGGGAGGTAGATGATGGCTACATCCGGGTGCCCTGGAGGCCCAGGCTGTCAGCGACACCTCCTTGTAGCTTGCATTTAGATGACGCTGGTTCTAGTCGGCCCCTCCTCGCCCACCGGAGGAGCCTTCTGAAGGCCCTCCTGTCCCAGCCGCACCACAGGGCTCTGCTCCGGCCTCTGGCTTGGCCGTGCCGCCGCGGGGCCACAGACAGCTTGTCATCCTTACAGCCCCCTCTTGGTTTCGCTGTGGGGTGCAGAGTCTCCCAAAGGCCCCTTGGTTCAAAGTTGAGGCAACACCTGCGTCCCACGGGATCAGACCTCTTGTTTCTTCCTCATATTTTATAGGCCAAGCCACACCCGGGCCTGGAGCTCCTGTGAGGAGCGCTCACCCACGGGGCCCCTCCGCACCTGTCTCTGCCTTCCTCACCTGCATGCCAGCCTCCTCCCTGTAACCCTGGGGAGACCCCGCTGCAGGGGAGGGCACAGGAGTGGGAAAGCAGCCTGGACTCAGCCTTGGTGTCTCCTTGGCTTGAGGACAAAGGGTCGTATTAGGGGTGACCTCACCCTTTGGGCATCCTCTGCTGGACAAAAGGCCGATTGTTGTCCAGTCTGGAAGCAGGCGGCCAAGGATGACACTCCAGTCCTTGGACCACTTTGGAGACCCTGCCTTCCTGCCGGAGGCCGCCCCAGCACGGGCGGCAGGGTGTCAGGAGGCCTGGTGAAGAAGGAAGGGCTCCAGGTACCTGTTCAGAGCCCCTCTGGGCCCACCTCAATCCTGGGACGTGAACCCCACTGCTCCCAAGCTGGAGGCAGACACTTGGCTTCCTGCTTTGCTTTTTTTTCCAGCTTTGCCTCTGATTTTTTTTTTTTCTTTTTGGCAAGGGAGGGTGTGCTTTTCTTTTATTCCCTGGGAGAACAGTGGATTCCAATTTTCTTTTTCTTTTTACAATAGGTTGGAAGGAGTTTCCAGAACTCTGATCAGTGAAGTAGAGGAAGCTCCTTCGATTGAGAGGAGGGGACAGAGACTTCCTCCAGCCCCTTGCCCCCCAACCCCATTCATACGAGGCCCTTTGCCTAGACTTTCTCCCGGGGTAGGCACAGCTGCAACCTCTCTGGTCTTTATTACGCCCTTGCCCGCAGGTGCCCACACCGCTATCTCCACCGAAGACTCCCAAGTCTCCCTGCCCTCCCTGACATGCCTGTGCCACCCTCTCCCGGCTTAGGTTCAGAGCTCCTGCAGCTCCGGGGAAGGACCTCCTCATACGTTGTTCCCATCCTTCCCCCTAGAAGCTCCCGGAGGATGGGGACCCTGTCCCCTGTCCCCTTCACCTGAAGCCCCGCTGTCTGGCTCAAGCAGGGCCTGGCAGGAGCAGGAGGGAGAAAACGAGGGTGGGCTGAGGCTGGCCTGGGTGTGCAAGTTCTCTGGATCATCACACTGGCCCCCAACACACACACACACACACACACACACACACACACACACACACGGCCTGACACGGGCTGAGGCCCTCCTGTGG